CCAACCTTCCAAGGTTCCAATCTCCCAAGGTCCCAATCTCTCAAGGTTCCAATCTCCCAAGATCCCAACCTTCCAAGGTTCCAATCTCCCAAGGTCCCAATCTCCCAAGGTCCCAAACTCCGAAGATCCCAAACTCCTAAGGTCCCAATCTCTCAAGGTCCAAATCTCCCAAGGTTCCAATTTCTCAAAGTTCCAATCTCTCAAGGACCCAAACTCCCAAGGTTCCTATCTCTCAAGGACCCAAACTCCCAAGGTTCCTATCTCCCAAGGTCCCAATCTCCCACGCTCCCAATTTCCCAATATCTCCATATCGCAAAATTCCCACATTCCAAAATCCTAACATCCCTGGTCCCCACACCTCTGACTCTCAATATTGCAAACCCCAAGGTCCGCAACTACATAAGGTCCGCAAAGACCTAAAATTGTTCGTCGTCATACACATCATGTTTGATGAAGTCGAAACCTTGCGTAATAACACTTCCTTAAATTTCTGGGGAACCCGTAAACGAGGATGTGGTTTTGCAGCGATCATTTGGTAACAACGTTCGTATTGCAGGTGACGGTCGCCAGTACCAGCACTCCAAGCACGAACACGGTTCATCCCAGTGTGAACGACATGGACTGGTTTGCCGGTGTGGCCGAGGAAGAACTGTTGTACTACACGGGCGTCGGCAACGACGTCGACTCTCTTTGGGCTGTGATCGGAAGCTTCGTACCACCGCCTCCTAGACCACCTTATTTACCAGAGGAGGCTGTTACCACTGACGGACTCACCACCTGTGATTTGTGTTCGTGGGCGTGGAGGAACGACAGGCATTCCTTTTCTCTCGACGGTACTCTCGGTAAGTGCGACTCGATTTCCTCTTGGATTCTTGAAATTCACGCTCGTTACCACCCTGATTCATCTTCTTTTCAAGCCATTCGTAATCAGTCTGAACAAATAAACTGTACAGGGTTTTCCGTCCTCCGAATTAAAGGCTTTTGTGCGACTATTTTTTTTTATGACGTATCTTTGAAGGATGACTTTCCTCGTGTCGCGTCGTGCTTTCTTCGGCTAGGGCTCTCTCGAGGAAGGGCTTAAAATGCGTCGCTGATGGCTGCGTTATTCCGTGTGTACATACTTGACCCGTATTTGTTGTGTTTGTCCGTCGAAATGTTTGCTCGCTCTGGATACTTTGAAAGAACTCTGTATCTGGAATCGGAGGTACCCTAGCTATTTTCTCGTGACTCGACGAGTTTCGTTCATGTTTTTAAAGTTTACCTTGCACCAGTTCCTTGTTTCGATTTAACGATGTACAAGAGAAAATGACTATTATCGAACACATGGTCCAAGCTCTACTCTTTCTTTTTACAAGGGTTCTTTCACGAAAAGGGTTAGCGATTTCATTACGAGGAGAAATCGGTGGTTAGGCAGCTGCGAATATAGTCGCCAGATTACAAAGCAAGCAGCTATTAGCGTGAACGAGGTGAGCATCTCCAATTTAACCCATTAGGTTTTAATGACGGCTAATAGAGCGTTGTGATATCTCGTACGTGTCTAAAGCAAATATTAAACTCCAAAATGTTGCCCGTGTGGCCCGAAACGATCCATCAATCCCGAATGGCGCGTTCGCCAAAAAGAAATACGACGGACATTTGCATGCGACAACTGCCTAACATTAACGTCGCAGCTATCGGCGATGTCATAATCGATGGACTGTTTAAAACGCGAAAAAAAAGGGTACGAGTAAGCAAGGTGTACGTCTTTCAGCATACGGAGTCCTCCGGGTCAAAGGTCGACCGGTTGGGCTCACCATGGGAGGCCATGCTTCGTGTCCGTAAAACTTGTATCTGCTCTCTCTCGCTTCTCCTCGTCCCACGTTCGTGCTAATTCTCGTAACGGACAAATTAAGACGGATAATTCGAGACCGAGCTCTCGCCTTTGGCCCAACCCACACATCCGGCTGATACAGTTCAACCAATCGGGTCTCCCTTTCGACCACTCCTGTGCTTCCACCTTCAACGGTCGTGCTCGATTTCCCTCTTTTATTGATAGGATCGGCTCAGTGCAACTTACTGAATTATTGGTAGACACATATTTCTTGCATTAGTGTCTATAAGCCACTAATTATAAACGCATCAAACTATAAAGTCACACAAATTCATAGTTTTAAAGTAAAGTCATAACTTCAAAAGTCATAATTTCATATATTATGAAGTCTGTTCAGAAGTCATGTACTATAAATATCAGGAGAATAAAATTCGATGTTCCTTTCCGTTCCAATAATTTTTATTTCTACACATACATGAAGCCTACGTTACTGGAATTTATCACAGTTAATAAACTGTAGTTACAGTCACCAACACCGAAGAAGTAACAATGAGATAGGTTAAGTTAGTACCGGTAGAATTTTCTACAGACTCAAAGAATTGAAATGCACTCGATCGAAAAGAGGGTCCCGATGAACGTAGGCCGTACATCCGGGCGAAGGAATTCGTCCAATCAGAAACAGCCGGGTCTCCCCTAGAGGATGCCAGGTTCACACATGCCCGAACGTAGGCACGCATAAGTTTCCGTAGCGTGGCAGGGTGCCCCACCTCTGTTCCGGGCCTGTTCTCATCGCAGCCGCCCTCCTCCTTGTTTCAGCCCCTGCGGGCCTCATCGTTCCAGGCACGCATTATCGCCATTACCATGAATTCCAGCAGTTATTACGCCTCTGTTGCGCCGCCACGAAAATGGCGGCCCCGGTGTGCATCCTACCGTGCAACGAGGAGATGCCTCCACGGACCCCAACCCCTCTTACGGTTCCGGCGCCTTGCGCTCCTGGCGCGTCGTTGTATTTTACACCGCTGACAATTAGCGTGGCGAGTGGCGATTTCGTATCCTTGCGGGGAAGATTTATTTTGATCGTGTCGCCGTAACTGAATAAATTTAAGTGGAGCGCGGAGAGGTGTGGTGTGTGACGGTACCGTGCGTGGAAATACGGCGCGTGGATATATGACGCATCGAGATTCGACGCGTGGAAATTCGACGCGTGGAGATTCGACGCATAGAAGTTCCACGCGTGGAAATACAGCGCGTGGAATTTCAAACGCGTGTGGAATTTCGACGCGTGGAGATTCAGCGCATAGAGATCCCACGCGTGGAAATACTGCGCGTGGAATTTCGACGCGTAGAAATTCGGCGCATAGAGATTCCACGCGTGGAGATACGGCGCATAGAGATCCCACGCGTGGAGATTCAGCGCAAAGAGATCCCACGCGTGGAAATTCGACACATTGAGATTCCACGCGTGGAAATTCGACGCATTGAGATTCCACGCGTGGAGGTACAGCGCGTATGGAATTTCGACGCGTGGAGATTCAGCGCATAGAGATCCCACGCGTGGAAATACTGCGCGTGGAATTTCGACGCGTAGAAATTCGGCGCATAAAGATTCCACGCGTGGAAATTCGACACATTGAGATTCCACGCGTGGAAATTCGACGCGTGGAGATTCCACGCATTGAGATTCCACGCGTGGAGGTACAGCGCGTGTGGAATTTCGACGCGTGGAGATTCAGCGCATAGAGATCCCACGCGTGGAAATACTGCGCGTGGAATTTCGACGCGTAGAAATTCGGCGCATAGAGATTCCACGCGTGGAAATTCTACGCGTGGAGATACAACGCGTGGAAGTATGGCGCGTGGAAATTCAACGCGTGGAGATTCAATGCGTGAGAATTCGGAGCGTGGAAATTCGACGCTTGGAAATACGGCGCGTGGAAATACGGCGCGTGGAAATATGGCGCGTGGAAATACGACGCGTGGAAACTCGCCATATGAAAGTACAGCGCATGGAAATACACCACGTGACAATACCACGCGTACTAAATATGGCGAAGATACCACGCATGGAGATACGGTGAAAATTGAGTACATGACGTATTAACGCCATGTAAATCTTGCTAAAGCATCGTTGAAATTAAATCGCGAGTAAACGGAATTGAAATTTTGTTTGCAGTAAATCGAACAACGGTCCTCCTGTTCGAATGATCGATGGCCGATAATGAACCGTGAGACGGCTTTTGATACCGCCATTAAAACGATAAATCATCGAAGAACCCCGGAACGAAGAGACGCCATTGTCTTGCCGAAATCGACGCAATTACCCCCGTGGAAAAAATCAACATGGCTGAGAAGAGAGTGCGCGGGATAGGGGCTGTTTAAGGCGGTCTCACGATGGGGTAATCATCGCGTCACTTCGCATCTTCCGCGACGTAATAATTACGAGATCGCGCCTCTGGAGCCGTGCTACGAGCAGCGTGAACTGCTCGACGAGCAGCCAAGGAGGTGGAAACGAACGGACGAAACGCGAAAAGGACGAAGAGAACTTAATTCGAGCTCTCGAGTCTCGTTCGAATTTCGTGACGATGCGTCCGCGATTCGCACGATTCCTCGGACTCTGGGACCGCTTCATTTGCCCGTCTTGTTGCGTACCGTTTACGCATTACGAGTAACAAGAAGTCTCTTCGTTTTCAAATTACCGATGCAGTGTGTATCTTAGATCGCATGATCACCCGGAGCAGCAATATTAAGAATACTTGGTCCTTCCACTCGGTTATTTCGAAATTCCGAGCTGATTTCGAACGATTATCTGTTTGGACCGTTCGTTCGTTTGACATGCGAAATTCGAATAATTTGTACGACGGATGATTCATTAATAACTTGGAACCTTATTGACGTAAAATATCATGTTTGCTTTCTCGATAAGGATACTCTTATTCAGGTATTTTACTTCCTCGACTACAAGCATTGTATCTTACTTGATAGAAGGCTACAGAATAGATCCCCTCGACTTATTTCTCCCGCAGGAACAGATAACTCACTGCCTGTTCGTGTAATCAGATTTCCTTGCATCCGGGACGGAATTTCTTACGTGACTTTTGACGGTAAAGCTCAAAAGCTGAAACAATAAGTTCCCATTCAAATAATGTCATGTAATCAGTTTGAAGTACCAAGTTCAGGTACCAATGTTTACTTTGCACAGACCGTGTAATTTGAGTAACATATTTCAGTTCGAAAAAGCAACATCATCTTAGGGATGACAGTTCCTTCATAAAACATTGCGAGCGTAAGAGAACGCTGCTAGGGGCGATGCATTTCCATCGTGGATCGCCGTCAGACTTTTACAAATGGTCGTTCGACAATGTAGCAGGACGGTCGTACAGAATAAAAAGAGGATATCGGGAAGTGGCTATATGCACGCAGCAAAGTGCCGACAACCGCAAAGAGGCACGCTAACACGGTTGAAGCATGAAAGTAGCAACGGTAGCAGCAGCCTCGTAGGAAATCGGAATCGCTGCGTGAGCCACCGGTTTAAGTGCAACCCGCCACGCTAATCACGCGATGCTGTTCGAAAATGATCGCAGACCGCCAATTAGAACGTAACACCGCATGCCGAACAGCAAATGTATGTATCACCCGTTGAACGAAGACGTTGCCCCGCCTGTCGTTCGCCGAACCGGACGCAAAACCGCGGGACAACTTCATCCCCTCGCAGCAAGTGGCATTTATCGACTGGACGAGCCTGCTCGTTTAATCGGCCGCTCGTTAGGATATCCTTACGTTTCGAAAACCACGAAGGCCGTCCTTGTGCCTCCTGAGTCATCCTTTTAATTCGCGTTACGCGCTCGCGGCTACGTATATTCGTATTGGGCCGATCTTATCTCCCCGTTGCGTATACGCCCGGGCCACGTAACGAGGCTTCTTCTTCGTCGCTGACTTTTTGCTTCTTTCGCTCCCTCTCTTTCTTCGTGTCTTCTTCGAGGTAAACTTTGCTCCTTTCACTTTGCAAAGTGGCGGTGTCTACTTTCGCACCTT